TCGCATGCGTGTGTTTCCATCTGTCATTGTTGATTGTGAATTTGGTTGACACTTCTATTATAGAGAAAGGGTGAATAGCAATATTAAAATATTTCTTTTAATTAATTTCCTTTCAATGTGCATGAATTCGTGCATTGGGCCAGTAGTTTTATATAAAGAAGAAAATAAGAACCCAGGTAAAATTTAGAATTTCTCCATTAATTTATTCCAACCTTGGTGTTATCCACTGACTTGCATCAGAGCGCCTCTTATTAATGTAACAGAAACTGCTTATCATTAAAGTCTCATCTTGGCATTTGTTTTTCAATTAAAGCCCCTTACGAACAGCTTATCTTTTAGCAGCCTGGTCTTTTGCCCCCACTAGAACTCCATTTTAAAGCTAATCAAAGACAGTGTTAAATTGCTTTTCTTGAGCCCCTGGTTATCTATCACAGTCTTAAGTCCTCTAAGCTTTCACTGGAAACATTCTATTAAATCAGACATAACAGGAGAAAAACAGTAGAGTATCCTCAGGGTGAATGCACAAAACAGGTTCTCCAAAGAGGAGAACATTCTTTGATCAGTTTCTGGAGGGGAACTGCTAGCCAGGTGAAATGCTGGCCTACATGTAATGAATGCTTCCCTAACCACCCCACACCCACTGAGCAGTCTGCAGGATTCTAAAACAGCTTCTGATGAAAACCTTTCAATTCACTTCCATGGGGCTCAAATTGCTTCTGATGAACACAACTTTTGAATTGCTTTAATATCTTTTTAAAAAAAATAGACTTTTAGAGCACTTTTAGGTTCACAGCAAAATTGAGCAGAAAGTAGAGTTTCTTTATAAACTCCCTGCCCTGCGGCTGTTCCCTGCCCCTGTACACAGCCTCCCCCACTGTCAACATCCTGTACCCGAGTGGTACATTTGTTACAATCGATGAACCTGCATTGACCCATCATTATCACTTCAAGTCCATGTTTTACATTATGGTCCATTCTTGGTGTTCACTCTAATGTTTTGTTTTGTTTTAACTTATGAAGGTTGTACACACTCAGTGCAGAATCACATAAACAATATAGAAAACTATAAACAGGAAAGTAAAAGTCATCTGTGAACATGTTGGTAGACATTCTTTTAACTATTTC